GTCTAAAATGCTAACGTGTCGCCCCGTTGCGATACGAAGACACACTACCATGCTTACCGACACGATGGGTTCAACCTACATTCGGGAAGTATGTTGACAGCTTTTCAAACGGAATAACTTTTTTAAAATTGGTTCAAATGACTTGAATTGTTTATATAACGAACTTTAAAAAATACGTTTCGTAGATCACGGTAAATTATATGCATGCCCCGAGTTCCTATAAAAACGAGCCGTGAGGCCCGTAGAATCGCGACTTATTATTCTCAAATCTCCCGATTTTAATAACGACCTCCGAACATTTCTGGGAGAAATTACTGTAATCAATTGTAAAATTATTAAGGTCGTATGATCTTTTACCGTACATGTATAAAAAAATATAACATAGAACTTTCCTCAAAAAACTTCCTCCCCTTATAAACTAACGCCCTTGGCAATAGCTTATTTAGCCTATACCTAAATCCACCACTGAATCTAGCTTTATTGATTTCAATATTAATATTCCCATCAGATAATACCGCAAAATTAATAAGTGTAAATCTTCAGTACTTAAAAATGAGTAATAAAAAGAAAGAATTATGTAATCATGACATGCACATACTTTAGCAATACGAATTAGTCCTTGAATTTGATTAAACATAGTAAAAACATCGTGAACAATATGTTTAAAATTCGTTTTTATACATAATAAAAACACGTTACCGTTACATTATCGGCATTAGTTAATAATTAGTATGTATTAAGCTGTTCATTACGTAAGATTAGTCTGCAGATCGTTGGAAACGGCATTTTAAGGTAACTTCACGTGCTTCCGGTATATTGAACCAACCGGGCTAACACAGTGGTTCAGAAACAGTAGGGCTGTAAAATAATTTTGATTTTAGTATATTATCACATAAAGACAGAATTACTTTAGAGTGTAAATATGGATTCCATATCGTCTTTATCACCTGGCTCATTAACAAGTTCCCAACGAGATGAGCTTATGGATCAAATTAAACAACAAATCGCTGTTGCAAACGCACAGGAGTTACTTACGGTACGATTACACAAGTCCATATTATTTTTTACTTTTGCGAACGTAAGATGAATGACTGGCGCGGATTTGATCTCATATTTTTAGAAAATGACAGAGAAATGCTTCAAAAAGTGTATAAACAAGCCAGGTACATCGCTGGATAGCTCTGAACAGGTAACATCGTTTATTTTGTAAAATATAACCTTAAAAATTGTTAAATATTAATACAGAAAAGTAATGATTTGTAAATCGACTGATTTTTAACTTTTCCTACTACAGACCTACATTTATGGTGA